GGTGGGTCTGTCTCAGGGTCAGGGGCTGCGGTGGTGGCCTCTCAGGTGGCGTCTGCCGGGCAGTGGGACAGGCAGCGGTGGAGCCCAGAGACACACCTTGAGGGGAGGGAGGAGGAGGCGGAGGGACAGGCTGGGAGGAGCTGGCACAGGGCTGCCTCCAGGCAGAGCAGCTCCCTATCCAGGCCACACCCTGCACCTTCAGACCCACCCTGATCTGTGGAAGGAGTGTTTTTTCTCCCCCAGTTTAATTATTTCCGACAGCTCAGCAACCAGTCGGGCTGCTTCCTTCTGATGCACCTTTTAAAGGGGAGCCGTGTCCTCACAGGTGGGCCAGCTTGCTGAGCCGAGAAGCCCCTGGGGCAGAGGCCGAGGTGTCTGCTGAGGCCCACAGACAGAGGGCTGTGAACCAGGTCCTACAAGCCCAGCAGCCGCGTGCTGTGTGCACCTGGCTTCAAGGGGAGGTCCCTGTGCGGACGGCGGGGTTGCTCCTCGTCTTAAGGGAAAGGGTGGGTGCCAGGGATTTGGGGTTTGCAATGAAATGGCATTGAACTCACCTGGCCACGCCCAGGCACTGTCCTCCCTACATTACGATCCAGCAACCTGCTCAATGATCCCGCTAACAGACGAGGATACGGAAGCTCTAGGGAGAGAACGCACTGGCCTAAGTCACCTGGGAGAGCTGGCATCTGAACCCAAGGCCTAGAGAGGCACAGGTCTTTCCTCAGCTGAGGGCCCCAACACCACCGGAGCACCTCCGTGCAAGGCGGCCTCAGAGCACCGCGCGGCCGGCAGCCCTAACCAGGTGCACACAGCCCTGTGGTTGTTCCTGGCAGCGCAGGTCAGGACTTGCTTGGATCTAAAAGACAGACACAGCAATGCAGGGAATGCAAGCAATGCCAGGCCAGGGGCTGGGTCCTGGGGCCCGAACACTTACCTCGCACTGTCTCCACAGCAGGTTTGCTGTGTGACTCAGAAAACATCTGTCCCCCGCCCCCCAGAGCCCGCCTCCTACAAGAGGCCATGAAGGGGGCCTCCGGTTATTCCCGAGGGGGCTGTTCAGGTGGGATATCCCCTCAGCACAGAGCCCAGGCCCAGGCGTGAGGCAGCCTACGCCAGCAGAGGCCTCTGTCCGACCACCTGCAGGAGCACCTGCCAGACAGGCCACCTGGTCCTCACCTGGGCTGTGACCCGCTGCCATGGTCCTGGGAGCCTCCCCAGCAAGTGCATAACTGTGCCTCTCCTGGGTGGGGCTGGAGGGACAGAACAGGGTGGGTGCGGCTGGGGTGGCATGTTCTGGGTGGTGTGTATGCAGGAGAGTGGGTTTCCCTCCCTCCCCTTGAATCCAGGTCAAGCTCAGGAGTCCCGCCCCGCTGGCTCACCAGGCTGAGCAGCTAATCCTTTGCAATAATATCCCTGGGAAAAGAGCCTAGACAAGCTTGCTTCACAAGCCAGCTGGAGTTTTAAGAGGTATGGAGTGGTGTTGGGGTGTAGACCTGGCTCCCTAATGGGAATTCCCTCTGTTCTCAGGCACCACAGGAGCCACCTCTTGTTTGAACTTACTAGGAAGTTGGCTAAGAGCTCATGGGGTCTTCGAGGGTGGGGATCCCTTCCTCAGAAACTCGGTCCCCATTCCACGGGGCTCTTGCCAAAGGTGAGGAGGGAGAGCCCCCGCTCCTCACAGTGTCTCCCCAACCTTGTGAGAATAGACATAAGGAGGAAAGAGCAGGGAAGCCAAGAAGCATAAGAGAGGAGGCTCTGCTAGTCCTTGGAGCTCATGCACCTTCATCCCAAGTCTGGAGGATGAGTCTGAGCCTTGGGAATAGCTGACACAGAGTAGATGCTGAGAGAACATTGGTGGATGGATGGATGGATGGATGAATGGATGGGTGGATGGATGGATGGATGAATGGATGAGTGAGTGGGTGGGTGGATGGATGGGTGTGTGGGTGGGTAGGTGGATGCATGGATGGATGGATGGATAAGTGGATGGATGGATGGATGGATGAGTGAGTGGGTGGGTGGATGGATGGGTGTGTGGGTGGGTGGGTGGATGTATGGATGCATGCATGGATGGATGGTTGAATGGATGGGTGGGTGGATGGATGGATGGAAGAAATAAAAGTTAGATGAATCTGAGTGGGGAAATAGATGGGTAATATATGTGAATAATGATGGGTGGGCAAAAAGAATGGATGGATGGATGAATACATAGTTTGCAAATTGGATAAAATAACTGAGAAAAAAGGAAGGAAAAAGACAGGAATAGAGAAAGAAAGGAAGATAGGTGGGAAGGAGAGAGTTATGAGAAGGGAAGAGAAAGGATGGATGAAGATCAATAGGTAGAAGGCAGTGGGTGTGCTGATAACAGTTTAGCAGCTGGCTCTTCCAGGGTGAAAAAGTGCTGGTTTGTAGTGTGCCCATTTCTCCCACCATGACCAATCTCCAGCTACCAATGCAAGATGTGTGGGGAAGAGATGCACCCGATTGGCTCTTGTCAGGGCCAGCCTGACAGGGTTGAGCCGGGCTGAGGCAGGGAGGTGGGAATTGAGAAAAGAAAGAAAGACAGGAAAGCGGGGTCGGGAGGACTCCAGTTCTCTTGATGAACTGAAGCGAGTTTATTAGCTCTACAATCCTATTTATACACAACACACCGAATCAGAGGTCTGTCAAGAGGAATGTATTCTTTGTTCCTCTTAATCTCTAAGGGAGAGATACAGCAGAAGGACAAGTTCTCAGTACAGCATATCTCAGTAAATAGTTACAGACTTCTTGGCAAGCTATGAAAGGCTGTTCTCATTCTACAAATGTTACTCTCATTCTACTGATAATCGCCATCCAAACAAGTCTGGGAAAACTGTGTGGATAAGGGTCCCGGCCTTGCTAGCCCCTGCAGGTGCAAGGACCTTGCCAGCTTACATCTGGCCCCCAACAGGCTCTCCTGAGCTACTGGGAGCCAGCTCCAGCCTATCACAGAAGAGTGGTGGGAAACCGAGGTAGATTGATAGATCTTAGGAGGGAGACAAAACATATGGATTCTGGAGGATGCCACCCTCCGTTGTCCTGAGGAAGGAAACCAGGTTCAAGTGACTTCAAGGCCGTGAAAATCAAGGCTGATTTATGTCTTCCACAGGCATTCCCTCTGACCCAGGCCATCAGTAATGGCTCCTTCCGCTGGACCCCTGTCTGTCCCACTCTGAGGCATTCAGCTCAGACCGCTCAATACTGTTGTGATTCACTCATGGACACAGGTTTCTTGAGCACCGTACTATGTGCCAGGCCCTAACCAGGGGCTGGTCACATGGCATGAATGAGTTGGAGAGCTCACACTCCCATGGGAAAACAAACCAGGGAGTCAATTATTTGCGTTTGGAGTAGACAGTGAAGGAGGCATGCTGTGAGGGGCTATGCTGCAGAGAGAAGGAGGAGGAGGAGCCAGAGACGTGCTAAGAGGCCTCCCGCCAGGCTGGGTGGGGGCTCGCTCCCCAGCACAGACGCGTCCCTCAGCCAGACAGAGGGGGCTTCGGTTCAACTCAGCAGATCTGTATTTGGTTGAATGCTGGTTGACTGGTCTTTGATCCTCCTGGGCAGGGCCCCTGACCCCTTCCTCCCTTAGGGGAACCGATCCTTCCAAATGCCTGGTGGGAGGTAGGGGCTCTTGGGGACCCCAAGGCCTGAAGAGACCTTCTCAGAGGAAGCCCTGCTCTTCCAGGAGAGACGAAGCCCTCACACCCCACCCGCCTGTGGCCGGCCATGTCGAAGAGCAAGGATTCTGTCTGCTCAGAAGTGAGGGCTGAGCTGGCACTGAGCGCCATCCGCGGGAAAGCCATGGCTGAGAGCTGCCCCTGGCCCTTCACTCAGCCCCACCAGGTGCCATCCAGGGCCCAACTATACTCGGTCCATCCCCGGGGCCTGCCCGCTCCAACCCAAACCCAGCGGCACTGGCTCCACAAACAGACAATCCCTGACGATGGCAGAGACTGTCCCACACGCCAACTGGCAGGAAGGACCCACGGCCACCTGCCCATGTGCTGAGGGCTGGGAGCGAGGACCTCTTCTATTTTTAAAAATACTTTTATTGGTTCCAGAGAGGAAGGGCGAGGGAGAAAGATAAGCATCCATGATGAGAGAGTCATGGGTCAGCTGCCTCCTGCACGCCCCACACTGGGGATCGAGCCCGAAGCCGGGCATGCGCCCTGACTGGGAATCCAACCGTGACCTCCTGGTTCCTAGGTCGATGCTCAACCGCTGAGCCAGGCCAGTGGGGCTGTGTGATGTGAATGGGGGGTCTGCTTTCATGTGGACCGGTGTGACTCTCTCATGCACTAAGCTGGAAGAGCCGTGCGAAGAAAAGAAAGAATTCAATAAAATAGAAAGAAAAGAGATCAGAAGGAAGTCCTCCCAGGTGAGGCCCAGCCCCAGGTCTTCTCTGCAAGGGCCGAGCACAGACGCACTCACACTCGCCCTGAGCTCTGGGGAGAC